TGCGCTGCCCCTGCTGAGCAGTGGGAGGGAGGTGCTGTTACTGGAACCCCTGGTACGGCCGTGCAGGCTTCCTGAGCCACGTCGGTGGTGTCCTTGGGACTTGCTGCCTCACTGCTTTCTCCAGCTGTGTTTGTAGGAGAAACAAGAACGACAGTAAAGCCACCAAGATGTGTTCGGGGTGATGCAATTCCCCTCCATTGCTGCTCTGGTCACACCAAAGCATGACTGCAGGGGGTGGGTGTGCAAAGGGACCTTTATGACCAGTGTTTATCATTTGGAAAACAAACCTGTGTCTTGTAGCTGCTGGATTCAAGCAGCCTGTTGGGTCTGGGAATTTTAATGTAGGAGAATTAGCAGCCAGTTGTTAACTGGCCCCTGCTCAGGGACGGACGATATCACCTTAGCATTGCTGCTGGCAAGAACTGCAAACAGCAGGAGAATGGGTGTCCCTCTGCCAGCGCTGGGGACTGTGGCTGGCTCTTTGTCACGACAGCGTGCAGGCGTCGAGCCTCTTGCGTGCCACTGACCTGGGCTTCAGAAAGCTGATGTGCCTGGGGACAGACATGCTGTTTTCTGGAGGAGGATGGATGAGTGCCTGGGTGTTGGGACCCACAGGTGTGGGGCCAGCGCTGACATTGAGGCAATAAATATTTACACTTCTGTTTGGGTCAGGAATAAGAACTTTTTCTTTTGCAAATAAAACTCTGGGTTGCAACATCTTCAGCCGCCAGCTTTCTGCCGGAGTGCTGGAAGGGGAGTAACTCAGGACAGATGTTTTTGGAGAACTTTGCCAACTCAGTTGAGGCCCAAAATTCAGGGCTTGTAGAATAACCACAAAGATGTAATAAAACCTAACATGAGCAGAAATGTCTGCAGTAATTATGTGATTAAAAAAAAAACCCTCAAAAAAAAAAGTGCATGGTTTAAATTAAAGCACTTCCCTGCAGCATTGTGCGTTCCCTGGGCCCTGGTGGCAGGCTCAGACCTGCGGGGAGAGGGTGGTTGGGGAGGACAGCAAATCTCATCCCTGGTACAACCTGGGTGAGGTTCCCGCTGTGCAGGCAGAGGCTTGGGGAAACCCTCCAGCGTGGAGCCCCAGGAGCTGTGGCCATGTCCCAGCAGCGTTCTCTGCCCTTCCCACAGCAGCTATTTTTGTGGATGCTGCCAGCCCAGCGGCAGTCACTGCAGGTCTGAAAGGGCAAAGTTGAAAGGAAGCTGTGTGCGTGTCCTGTTAGGGCAGGGGTGCATCACTGTGCGCTCTACATTTCTCTTAAAACACACTTTGCAAAGCTGTTTCTGCACTCACAGCGTGGAGCTGCACCCCGGCTGCCCGGAGCTCAGGTTGCTGCTCTGCTGTGCCCGGCTGAGGGCATTGGATGGGAGTGCTGCTTCCCACATCCCTGCTGGGGAAGGGAAGATGCCTGCAGGGAGCGAGGAAGCAG